CATTTTTCTTCTCTTTTATATTACTTCATATTAATCTAACATTGAATATTGTAGAAAGCATAAGGAAGAGCTTCTCTTTGATGGGTGTGAAAATATAGATAAAGAACACAAGGAGAAATTTCCTGCATGGTTCAAAAAGCATGTAAGTTATATAAACTCAACTAAAATTTACAACTATTAAACTTGCAGTTTTGTTATTGATTATTTTAAATATTTTGTTAGACGCATAGTTTATACAAACAAGAACCATCAAGAGCAAACGAGTCTCTATATTCGCTTGCGTGTGCACCCCATAGGTGTGTAAGAAAGTACTCCGGTTGTATTGTCAATGGCGTAAGATTTTTAATTAAAGATCGTGATACCCATCGCAAAAGTCAAAATAGCGGAATTGTTGTGGAGGGGAATCATGGTGAAGAGATTATTGATTTTTATGGAGTTCTAACTCAAATTATTCAGCTCGATTATGTTAAAGATAGACATGTTACTATATTCAAATGCGAATGGTTTGATCTTGGGAGAAAAAAAGCTGGGATACGAAAGGAGGCAAATATCACTAGTATTAGAATAACTAATAAGTGGTACGAAAACGATTCCTACATATTAGCTGATCAAGCAAGACAAGTTGTATACATCAATGATCCTAAATTAGGAGTCGACTGGAGAGTGGTTCAACCATTCCAGCATAGGCATATCTATGACGTGCCAGAGCAGCAAAGTGAAGAAAAGAATGATGATGATTTCGTAGTGGCAGATGAAGTGTATCAAGAGGATGAAGTTGAAGAAGCACTTGAAGTTACTCTTGATGATATACAATCCCTGCATAGAGAGGATATAGATCCCGATGAAATTGAGGAGACACTGATTCAAGAACAGTTTGAGGGTCCTCATGCATCAAGTATTGAGGAAGACCATGAAGATGAAATAGATGAGACTTTGATTGATTATTTGAGTAGTGAAGACTCCATTGAAAATACTGATTCCGATTTTGAAAGTGATGACAATGATTGGGAAATATGACAACAATCACTATTGTGACAACATACACATTGTAAGAGTTTATATATGTACTATATTGTATTCCTGTTTTACTTGTTTTATTTCAGTATCCATTGTTATTTTTGCAAATTGGCATGCAATGTTTTATGCCCAATATAATTCATTTTTTGTGTTTTTTTGCAGGCATGTAGCATAACTTCACTAGATATGTTTTTGGTATTTCTTCATAGCAATTGCGATATGGTATGTCTATTTTTTTGTCAATATTTTCTAGACCAATTCATATGATATGGGGTATATATTCTTTGTCATCAATATCCTTTTCTTTCAATAAAAATAATTATAAACCTAGTTCTGAATTATCTAAGCAATAAAGATTTTATTTATATTATATGTTGGTTAAAACAGTAATGAGGCTCTTATGTGTGAGTATGTATTCAGATATTGATTCTTTTGATCAATCAGTTTCTTTTATTTTGATGTGAAGGATGAAAATAGATCAAAGCTTAGTTTGTCATGAAGTGGTATAGGACATGAGTAAAGCGGAGCATTTATATGATGCTAATGTGATTCATGTGCTAAATATTTTGAGTAGCAGGATAGATACTCTAATTATTTTCAACTTCTCTTCTCCCTGAATTATCTCTACCAAATAGAGGCTAGTCGTTACAGTTGTTTTGAAACGAAAATTTCACAACCAGAAGTTTGGAATTGAGTTATGTCCTTTCTAGCTTCATTGGATTGTTTGGTCAGTTTCTGACTCTGCAATTGTGCACCCAAAAAATCTTCTGTGTTCATGTTTGCCTTTTCTTCTATTATCTCCTTGGGGGGGGGGGGGGGGGGGAGTTTGTTCTTTGAGATGTCTTAAGCCTTAACAATTTAGCATTTGAAATTGATATTCGGTCTTATTAAATTGCAAAACCTGCCTGAAAACGAATAACTAAAGGCTCACTGGTAAGTATAACTGAGCATTTGAATAGCACCTTTAGTAATGAAATACAGGCTCACTGGTACTGCTAATATCATATCGTATCTGTTACATACTTATATGCATAGTAGAAATTTATGTGTGTTTAATGTTCTTGTTTCGTTTAATCTCTCTACTTCTTCACCAGTTTGTTTCTTTATTTCAGGGGAATTCTGGTTGTCGATCATGGCCCAAATGAGCATGGCTACCTGATTCATGCTAGTAGTGGTTTGGCATTAGCCTTTTCATTAAATCTAAGAGATTATGAGAAATTGCTTCTCTTATACTCTATCAAATTGAAAACAATGAGATGAAGCTTATCGGCAGAATATGGATGCTGAATCTGAAATTCTGAATAATTCCTTAGCTTTCTTATGTTAGTTTTTTCCCACCCTTGCGATCGCTAACCCACTCACCCACTCTTGTCCATTTTTCCTTTATGGCATGATTATGTTATCCTCCGTATTTGTTATTTCACGCTTATCGATTTTACAACAAAGAATCATAGCAACAGTGAATACAAGAATTTTTAAGACAAGGAGAGGCTAATATACAAAAATGGTACCAAATACTCCTTTTGTCCCTTAAAACTTGACTAATTATTTATCTACTTTTACATTTATACTAGTTTTTATATTATTATTACATTTTTCAAATTTATAATAAAATAGTGTAACAATAATAACACATAATAATAGAATAAAAATAACAACAACAATGATTTGTTCTGAATCTTTCTAATAATCTCATTTGAATCTTTTTGATCTAGTCTGAATCTGTTTTATTTAAGTTTTTCTGATTTGATATGATTTGAATAAAATAAGAATCGATAATACTAGTAAGTAATAAGAATAAGACAAATAGAACAACACCTAAATAAATAATAAATAATTAAATAAATAATAGCTAATACATAAAAAGGAATGTTGATTGATTTAAAAGGAAAGTAGATAATACTACGTACATACGTAAAAAAAAGATAATACATAATTAAACAAAATAATAGATAATACATAACAAAAAAGAAAAGTTGACAAAGTCTAAGGGGAGGGAGAAAGTAGTACATATGTCGCTCGAGAGCATGGATCAATACAAATGACAAAATTTTCACTGGTCATATGTGAGGTTGTGTGATGTATAGATGCATTAATGCTTCCCCACGAGTAATATGTGTTCATCAAGACCCGAACCTAACGCAAGACTAGATGAGTAAGTGTAAGAAGTTTTCGTATCCCGTTTCTCGTGTCGACTGACTAGTCTACTCCCGGGCCATTTCTCTGACATCAACTTAGACGCATCCTAATTTAAGAAGAATTGGGGTGGGGCAGGCGGGTATCTCATATATTATAAGAGTCAGAATGGGTACTAACCTAGTAGTGAAATTCTATTGATGATGAGCGGGCAAAAGCCCTCAGATTCCTATGTTTGTGAGCTAGGTTCCCCCTTCGCTTTCCTTGACCCGAAATGTGGTAACACCATAAATTAGGGGTGGGCATAACAGTTTGGTTTAACCGAACCGAACTGTAGCAAACCTAACTAAACGGAATCGAAATCAGACCGTATGTAATTTGATTTGAGTTTGGTACTATTTCTTCCAAACTGTATTAAACCGAACGAACCAAAACCAATAAAAACCGAACAAAATCGAACCGCACTAAAGAAATTCAAAAAAACCTTTATATATTATTAAAAATTAACAAATCCAAACCGAACCAAACCGAACTAAACCGAACCGAACCAAACCGAAAAATAGTACTCCCTCCGTCCCGCAAAGATGTTCCCGGTTTGACCTACACACATATTTAGGAAATAAATTTGACTTTACTGTTTAGACACTGTTTAGACACTGTTTGACACTGTTTGGCACTGTTTGACACTGTTTTGATGTAGGATAACTTTCCATTTAGGGAAAGGGAACTTCTTTTTGGGATATCCAAAAAAGGAAAGCGGGAACATCTTTGCGGGACGGAGGGAGTATGTTTTTGTTTGGTAATAATTCTTCCAACCCGTTCCGAACCGAAAACCGATATGCCCAGCCCTACCATAAATGGTACGCAAAAGACCGAATACAAATGTCAATGGTGAAACATTTTTGTATTTATACATGCAATTTACTATCGTCTACTTCGGCTAGTAGTTTAACATATGAGATTTGACTTGTTGGTGTCAATTAGGCGGTCTGTGGAATTTTGTTGCTCTCCACAACTGATAGTTTCCTATTTTAATAGAAGTTACGGTTCATCAAAATTTATCAATTACCCGGATCTACTCGGACCGCCATTACCACTGAACATCCCTGCCATCACTGAACTACCCCACCATCAACGGACTCACCCAGTTAGGCAAAGGAACGTACTAGGGAGTAATTAGTTATACATAGTATTAATTTTAGGAAAAGGATCAAATAAGCCTTTCTATTATTTTCATTATGTATTTTAAAAGTGGAAATACTTATATGATACGGAGTACTTTTTTGGATTATTAGCTAAATATATCTTCAAATATCATCAAATTCACAAATTTATCCCATACTTTCACTTGTAGTAAAAAGCGCAAACTTCAATTTTTTTTATAATTACACTTTCAATGAATGAATTAGTAAAACTTAAGAAGATAATCATATTTATATTTCATATTTTTTAACTTCTTTGTAGTTTTAAGCTTACAAACTTGTGATGCTTATATTATTGAATTAGCAGAAGAGCTTATTTGACATTTTTTCCTTAATTTTATTAGGATTAAAAATGTAATGTTTAATTATATTTAATGAATAAAAAACATTGAATTCGTATTTAGGTATTTAAATTTAATCCAATTTAAGGTAACTTTTTGTAATTTAAAATTGGAACTATAAGGAAACAACATATTTACCTTTGTAATTATTACATTCCATGATCGTAAGTTACATTCTGTTCCATTATAATTTATTACTCCGTATGTTACATGATTCATGATTGTATTTGTTTATTGTTACATAATAAAAGTGAATTATACTCCTACTTTTTAATATATCAAACCAAACACGCATTTCCTTTTTTTAGAATCACTTGTTTCTTATCCCCTTTTCCTCGGTGACAACTAGATTATACAGATCTGGTCTTTCAGCCTCCTTCGTTCTATGAATTTCAATATTTTTAGGTTTTAATTTTCATCATCTCTTGGGCATCTATGAACTTCCAGATTATAGTTGTGAGCTGTTAGGGACTTAGGGTAGATAGCCAAACATCTGGTCAATAAAGACCACCACCGCCATGGCGACGGGAGGATCTATTTCCGCCAGTCTCCTTCAACTTGATCTCCGCCACTCAGCCGCTTGTGGGCATAGACAAAGCAGGTCCTGTCGACGTAGGACTCTTCAATTGAGTGTATTTTTTACTCTTGGACCTTTTTACCCATTTCCGCCGCCGCAGAGTGAGGTCACATGCGCTAGAGACTTCGACAGATAAACCACCACCGCAGATCTGGAAGAAATGATCAATGGTGAACCGATAGATAAGTGTTTTAATAGCAGAGTATTTATTTAACATAATTTTAAAATTATAATTATAATATTAATTAATGTGTGAAATATTGAAATAATTTAAATGTTACTTGTAATTGATAAGATTAAACTCGTATAAACTTTAAAACTTACGTTTTGGCGGTGATTTCCAAAACTAAAATTAACATAGCTAGGTATTTAGGCTGGCGCTAAATTAAAATTAGAGTATTTTTTTCACACTTTGGCGGGCTCTAAATTAAAATTTTGGGCGGCTAACTACTTATATTGAAACATTACGCTAACATAACTAGGTTTACCTATATATATCCACTCCAAGCTAAATTATTTCGCCACCAGAGTATCAAAGCCGCCTCTCGACCTTCTCTTTTACATTCTGGTATGGTTTATCTCTCTGAGTGTTTTTTATGATTGCGAATATATTACGTCAATATGTGTTCCCTTTTTCTTCCAGTGAAAAGGGTTTATTAAATTTGTTGCTTTCCTTTCGGTAATAGTTGAAGTCATATAAAAAATGTATGAGTACTTAGTTTGGTGTGCTCACATAATTCATTTTGGTGTTTTTTTTGCATGGTTAATAGCGTGTAGTTACTGGATTGATTTTTCCCCTTCCTGAGATATGAGAGCCTTAATTGTTTTTTCCTTTGACATCCTAATTGCTTGCTATTTATTAATCATCACGGTGAGAATTTTCAAAAGTTCTGTATTTACCAATTACTGCCACTTGTTATCATGGAGGCATCCATATCCATTTTTAAATATAATAGCTAATGCAAAGTTTGAAACTTTGCAAGTTGATTGATAACTCAGTTGCTGATGTGGTACTGAATATAAATCACACATTGTTACATGCTTACAAATTCATTTTGTTGTTAAATAGTCGAAGTTGCAAATTTGTGCTTTTAGTTACTAAACTGGCCTTTTCTGAAGTTTAAAAAATTCATGTATTTAATTGCTTATAATATTTCTGGTCTCTATAATCTTGGCCATGTTCTTTCCCCTGAATACCAGGTACAAATCAGATGACTATAGCTATACCTATACTGTTGAGAATTTCTCAAATAAGAGGATTATAATATGAGATTATTAACATACTTCTATGAATGTTTGGATCCAAAATCTACATAGTTTCTGAATTTCTGGCTAAATCATCTGAATTATCTGGATCATATTTAATACACATTTAATAAATTATAAGGATATTATAACTAATAAAGCTTTAAATGCATCAATATGGCATCTCATGCACTACTTTTTGTCCTTACACAATAGATTCTTATTTAGAGTGTGCATTGTGATACTATTACACATGATGCTTAATTTTCATATTTGCTTGATTTAACCAACTTTGAGTTTCCATTTGAATTAAGGAATGGCTCCTGGAATTAAGGAAAAGCTTCAAATGAAAAACAAATTTAGCACATCTCAATCAGATTGTGGACGCCATGCATCGAAGAAAGTTTCACCAAAGTTTGTGACTCTGGGAGGAATTAAAGGAGTTTTAGGCAAAACAAATATGGCATCTGATGGCAAAAGTATTAGTACAAGAAATGAGACCCTTGTACAAAATATTTCATCTAAAAGATGTGGAACAACTACAACACAATTAAGTTCGGAACGAGAGGATACTGGATCAATTCAAAGTCATGAAAGTGCAGCAAATTGCAGTCCTCATATTACATCACCAGAAACCCACGTTGAAGGAGGTACCTATCATGACCGTAGAATGTGAATAATATTGTTAGGCTAACATGACAATCTCTATTTTTTCTGTGCATTGTTATGATCCATATAGCTCCTCGCTCCAAGAAAAGAGGTCGGGGTCAGACAATGGGAAAGGGCATTATGAAGGCGTTTGAGGCATCTAAGACAAAGATGAAGATAACTGTGGATCCATCCGTTGGAAGACCTAAAAATGGTGAGCAGTCAGCAAAACTGTCTAGTCAAATTGGTATTGTGACTAGTGATGTGATTCCAGTTCCTAGAAGGTGGAAAGAAGTAGATGAGGAAAATGAATTGGGACCTGGATTGGATCACATACAGGTATAGTTACTCATAAAAACAATTTACTTTACTTCAATTCTCTTTCAATCTAAAATATGTACTTGAAACTTGCAGATGCATATGGATGTCAATGTTGGTGATCCGGGTGTTAAAGAAAGCTTGATTGAAAGGTTGAAAAATAGTTCTCGACAAATGCGTTACAAGCTGCATAAACATTACAGACAGTTTGGAACTATGGAAATGGCTAAAAGCAATAAGCCAGACTTTTGCCTAAACCAAGAGAACTGGGAATCATTGTGTGAACATTTTGCATCACCTAAGTTCAAGGTAAGTGACCTGATCGAAACTTTCAAGGTAGAAAGTAATATTTTTATATTCAACTAAATGATACATCAGTTTGATACATTTGACTATAGAAATCAAGCATCACAAACTCGGGAAACAGGAAACTTGTGCGAGCTCCACATATTTGTGGTAGGAAGCCTTTCACTGTCCGAAGACAAGAAATTGTGAGTCAAAATAAAACTTTTATGTTCAAATAAAGCTTTGAATGCTGATTTTACTCTGTAATGAATGCTGATTTTTTTAGCAGTTCACTCGTTGATGTACAGAATAAGTGTTCATGATCATTTGATGATAAGATTGAATTTATGTTGCTTAGATGATTAGGCCCATCATAGTGGCGTTGATTTTTCAAAAGCTGTACTGATCACTTTTTAGCTAGTGGAAACATGTACAGAAAATGTATGACAGGAAAGAACTGAAGTTTAACTATATTAAATGTTTGAGAGAATCAAAATCAGGGAGAGGAATATCGGGGAGAGGAATATCGAGAAGATATAAAGAAAGACATTTCCAACAGGATAAGATAAAGTGGGCTGAATATTCCTCTTGTTTTATTTTCATTGAAAATAATGTAAAACTGGCAAATGGTTCATGAAATTTAAATTCGTATTTCCTAACAAATGTATAAAACAGTATGCACTTGTATGATTAATGTTGTCTTAGGGTTATAGTTCATAATTACACTTCTGTTATAGTTATTGTTCTTGAAGGCTAAGGCATTCTTGAGGTTTTAGTTACACTGTCAGATTGTCATATGCCATGTTGTTATAGGTCTATTATCCAATTCCCAGCCAGTATCATAAGTTGTAGTAGGATTTAGAGCAATTGATTTATCAAAACCTCAGACCTCAATGTCATCATAGGAGGAAAGAATTCTATAGTGAAGTCAATGAAATGCATAGTATATTTTGGAAGAGAATGTAGTCTTTATTGTCTGTGTTCTCCCTCAAGATAAGGCTGTTCATGTTGAACTATTGCGATTGGGTGAGCTTCTTCTTACCCTTTGTACAGTAATAAAGTTCATATTAGGTGTGAAAAAAAAGTTACACTGTTGTAATGAAGACTGAAATAAGTATACAAGATCATTTGATTTTTCCTGATTTGAAATCCATTTGATGTGAATCAGTACCTTTTTATCCATGTTAATACAAATCTTTTCAGTCTGAACAGGAGCTAAATGGAGATTCTTGTGATAGGATTGAGCTCTATAAACGAACTCATTATTCAGAAAAAAATGGCTGGTCATCTAAAGTGGCAGAAGAGAATTGGGTACTTATATACTAATCTGATCCTTCATAATCAACTCTAACCTGTTTTGTTGGAAATAATTTTAATCTACTTGTTATTGATATGTGCGATTAGGAGTTGATGAAAAAGAAACAAGAACAATATAAAGAAGAAGGATGTGACTTTATAAGCAATATGTTAGGCTATTTAGATATTCATTTATTCTTCTCACACTTTGCGTTATATTTACATTCCCTATTTGAATGATTTGGATGTTCATGTTTTACATGCATCTTGAATATTGTGCAGTGTCTCTCATTATTGTAAGACACTGAAGTTTGATGTTATTTTATGCATTTAAGTAACATTTATTAAATATAGAAGGTTTATTCCTGAATGTATGGATGCCATTTTTTATACGAGTATATGTTAAAAAAGTGACACTAATTCAACGATCATATTGTCGCTGTTTAAATTGGAATAGTGACAATTAAACATTGCATATATAATATTAAATCACAATAGTCATGCGTTGCTATATGTACTCATGTAATGACAAAATCACGTTTTGTCATTTTAATTAATGTATTTTGACAATATTTATGTCACTAAAAAGTAGCAATTATGACAATTCATTTCTCACAATATTAATCATATAATGACAAAATCACGTTTTGTCATTTTAATTAATAACTAATGTATTTTGACAATATTTATTTGTCACTAAAAAGTAGGAATTATGACATTTCATTTGTCACAATATTAATCTCTAATGATGACGTAAATATATAATTGTCACTTTATATATGCTTAATAATGACGATTAGTTAAATCGTCAAATATAATATTTTATTGACAATTCTACTTTTGTCATTATTTACATTTTAGATTGTCGGCATAAATACTTTATAAGTGACAAAAAAAACTTGTAACTAAAATAGCTATAATTGATGACAATTTTTGTTTTCAATGACGAATTACATGGCTCTACTATGACAATTTTATTGTCACTATAATTAATTTTTTTTTAGATCATAACGGTAATTGTCACTATATAGTACATTTTGTTGACAACATCGTATGTCGTCATGTATTGTGTTAAGCAAAGATGACAAAATTGTTACTTTGACGACGAAAATATTGACACTAAAGTGACACATATGTTGTCACTAAAACTGATTAGTAATGATGACAAAGATCTAAATCGTCATTAAATATAGATAAATGGTGACGAATTTAAAAAGTGTCACATAATTCTTTTGCCACGGAGCTACGATGACAAACGCTGTGACAAATAAAAATCGTCATATATAAGTTTTAGTGACGAAAATTGAAGCTTATGTGACAAATATTGTTGTCACATTTAGTCAAATTTCTTGTAGTGTTGTTTGTTGGATAGGTTTTGACATCCTTGCTTGCTTGAACTGCAACCATCTTCATCTTCCATGCTGAGGGAAGACCTCTTAACCCTTTGAGGTTGATCTCAAGAGGATGACACTATATAGACAAAGGTTATGACTCTTTTAGTTGTGAGAGAGATGAGTTAAACATTGTACAAACGTGTTTGCTAGAAACAGATGATTTCAGGAGCAGGCTGCTGAAATCCTGAAGGAGATGGCTGCCAATCAGTTTGGGAGCTGGCTGCCAAACCTTAGGAGCAGGCTGCTGAAATAGTTTTTCTGTTTGTGTGGTTAAAGTATAGCAATGAACTTTACTCTAACAACTTGACTGACTTTAGAACTAGTCTAACATGTTTGCATGAAAGATTTAGACCAATGGAAATATGTCACTTTGAAGAACAGATAACAATGAGATGACTCACAGTGAACTCAGAAAGTTCACTGGACAGTTTTTATGAGCAAGTTGTTTTGTTGTGTAGTTGTGAAGGTGAGTGAGTACTGAATATGTGTTAGGAGCAGAATGTAAAAGATGACACAATAAATATCCTGGTTCAGAGGTGGTGTAATCCTCCTACATCCAGTCCCAACCTATTTCAGATGGATTTCCACTAAATGAATATTCTATTACATTTAGTGCCCCAACCTACCCTTGGCCCAGGCGTAGGTTGTGAGGTTTTTCACAAGGAACTTGAACACCGTTCCAAGCTACTCAGTCCTCCCAAGGTTTTTCACTAATGACATTGACTTGCCAAGAGCTACTCATGTCCTTGCCCTTTTATCACCTTCTGGATTTGATCATTAAGCCCTCCAGAATGTCTAACACTAGTCTATAATACATGGTGTATTGTTAAACTACCAACTAATCTAAGCTCTATAGATTTGTATGAATTATAGCTAGTCTAAGAGCATTAGACGAGTGGGGTGGCAACCAAAGTATAGAAGGAAATCAGCTGGATGGATTTCTTCGTGTAGAGTATGATTTCCTCCTATCCACTTGGCTCCTCTCGTTTTACCACACTTGGTAATCACACGCTCCTTCTGTATTTATAGACTTGATCATTGCATCTCCACCGTTGGCTGAGGAAATGAATCTTGATCGTAGCTTGATCTACTTGCTTTGTTCCACTTGACTGAGGCAACGTGGTTTGTCTTTGTCACGTAGTGACACAGATCACCTATACTCAGCTCAACTTGTTTACACATTTCAATGCAAGATAAAAGACATGTTGTCTTTATTTTCTCATGCGTAGAAACTAGTATAAAGCTGAGTGATATTTCAATGCTTCCTTACAAATAACGAACACTTGCTTTTGTAAAATAAATTCATAATAAATTTATAATGTGCTGAAAATTTCTTATAAATTTACTTTTTATCATGTTTGATATTTGACTGCAAGTTGGTCTTTTGTCTAAGTGTTTTGTGCCAAAGAGAAGAGAGAATTGGATTTCGGATGAGTTAGCTGAAAACCCAATTTTCAGCTGGTGTTTTCCAGCTAGCTCATTCCTAACAATGTATACCAGTTAACCCTTTTCGTACCTATTCTTTTTTATCCTTTTCCTTTTGTTTTATGGTACATTTACTTCTCTTTTGGAGCACATTACAATTAAACAAAGCGGAGCATAACTAGTAGACTAGTCTAATACAGGGATAAATAAAAAGGGGTGACATCATCAAAACTATTACATTTATTATCAAAATTTAGGGGACCTAACATAATAGGAAAGTTTATGTCACACCTTTAATTGTCAGGTCACAATCTCGTGTATAGTGCTTGGATATCAACGCATATGCGTATATATCCCACATTGATTGAGCTGATCATTATGTTTGGCTAAGGAATTATTAGCGTCTATGCATTCTTAGAGAGAAGTAGAGTTGTATTGATACCCTACCCTCCGTGTTCATCATTATCACTTTGGTATTGAATCAAAGCTTGAATCTTATCTATTCTTGTTTATATATCTGATTGTTGGATAAAAAGAGACTTTCAGTTTGCATCCAGGAAGAGCACTTTGTGTCACGCCCCAGACCGCAATCCAGGCGCGTGTACAACCGCCGTATAATTAAGAGACGTCACCTGCGAGTCAACCTCACTTAATTACACAAGGCGTTCGAGAAAATAATCCATCCATACTCAGTAGTAAACATACATAACAACATCACATTTAAACCAATAAATAGCGGAAATATTCAACGATAAGTATAAGCCACAACCGGCCAACAACATGGGCATGCAAGCCCCAAAAATAGTTTATAGTTGAACAAATATCCATGAGCAAGTGTTCGGTAGTTTGAAAGAAAATAAGGAAGCACGAACCACGTCTTCCTGAAGTGATATCACCTGTGAGAAGGTGCAAGTAGCAAGCTCTAGCTTCAACCTGAAAATGGTGGGGCCCCCCGAAGGGGTCAGTACAAGTACCGAGCGAGTAGCAGGCTAAATATAGAATAACTGGCGTTTCAAGTATAAGACCCAAACATAGGGTGATACTTATATAAACAGCCTTTCCCCCAAGTTATGAAATACTTATGAGTATATATATACTTGGAAAATATTCGATCCGTAGATCACCGTTTTATTTGGGAAAAATAGTAATAGTCAATATCCTTGACTAAAAACCCCAACCCACCCATATACCTACGAGTGTATAGGACTCCTCCTTGTCCCTATTTCAATATCATAATCTATGAGTTTTGAGGATCATAATCCTTGGGTACTCCACCAATTTGTTTTCCGAGTGTTAAGGACTCATAAGTCCTAGGGTCCTCCACCAAATTTTGAGTGTTAAGTACTTTTAAGTACTAGGGTCCTCCACCAAGTTTGAGTGTTAAGGACTTTTAAGTCCTAGGGTCCTCCACCAATTTATAATCCAAGTGTTAAGGACTTTAAGTCCTAGGGTCCTCCACCAATTTATAATCCGAGTGTTAAGGACTTTAAGTCCTAGGGTCCTCCACCAATTTATAATCCGAGTGTTAAGGACTTTAAGTCCTAGGGTCCTCCACCAAATTTTGAGTGTTAAGTACTTTTAAGTACTAGGGTCCTCCACCAAAATATTTTCCTATGATCAACCTTCTATCAACCTAGATAGAGTCTATATCATACTTAGTTACTCATAACTAATTCAATACATAAAGCTTATGTATCACAATCCATGCAAAGTCATGCAATTATATAGATGTATAATTAACTAATATCAACCGATATTAATTAATCCATTATCCATCGGTCAACGTTGTCGTTGACCGCCATTTCAAGTCTTACACTTATCAACTTAATCATCATGTAATTAAGTGAATAATATTCATTGGTGCTTCTTATACATTTCAAACAAATATGCATTTTATATAATTCTTCATATCATATTCCATGCATAAACCATTTATTTCTTTCATACAAACTTAACCGTATTGGCTAATCACATGTTTAAATATCTTTTAAACATCATTATGAACTCATATAACATTTATTTAGGTAATCTCATAATTAACCCAAAAGTTATAAGATATTAAGCCGTCCACTCACCTTGAACTAGCGTTATGAAGTTCTACCCTTCTTGTTTGAACTCCGGTGAAACTCCGGTGACTTTTGGTCAACTCCGGCGACAACTCCGGCGACTTTTCCAACTTTGTGAAATCACTTGAAATACTCTTTACAAGTTCCTAACAAGGTTTTATAATCCTAAAACCAAATTAATACGAATAACCTCAAAAAGGTTATTTTCCGGTGAACCGGTCGTTTTGGCTTCTAAGTCCGTTTTTGGACTTAGAACCATCTTCCACCCCATTGTTCAACACTTATATCATGTAAAACAATACGCTCATGTGATATATATCTCATATGATAGAAGGAAAATAAAGGAAAAGTTATGATAAGGTCATTACCTTAATTTTCACACTTTTTCCTAGCTTTTTCCTTCTTTAATCTTCCTTCTTGGAACCCTATGGCTTGAGCTCGAATTTTGGCTATGGAAGATGAGTTTGCAGAGGTCTCCTTGTTCTCTTGGTGTGCCTTGGCCGAAATTATGGGGTGGGTGAGTGAA